AGGAGAGAGAGAGAGAGAGGAGAGAGGAGGAGAGAGGAGAGGAGAGAGAGGAGAGGAGAGGGAGGAGAGAGGAGAGAGAGAGAGGAGAGAGAGAGAAAAAAAAAAACACACGGTGAGTTTCTGACACAGCTCTTCTCATTGGCTCCTGAAGCTCTATCTCTCAGCCAGACTGTCGAATGAGCAGAAACATCACAAAGGCTGTGAGTCAGCTCTGCACAATGGGTTGGAGTGCGATCCAAAGAGTCTGCTGCTCTGTACACACAGCTTCTGACACCGGAGGACATCAGCAGAAAGCGTCACAGTGCAGAGAAAACAGCTGCTCTCACTCTGAGCTATATTCATTATCTTACTCAGATCAGGGTCAGAGGTTTGAAATGTGCTGGGTGGTCAGAAGATGGGATATAAATACATTTCATTACCACACTGAAAGGCTGAGGCACAGCGATGAAGCTATTCTGGGCTCCGACCCGAGCAGAATTAATGTCAAATCAATGTGGAGCTCTAAGAATAAACCAAATACTTCCACGACAGATGGTTGAAGTTCGTGGAGTTGTTTATTTATTATCTGCTTTTTTTTTGTACAAGGATATGATATAAATGTTATTAGTTTAATCTATCTTTGTTTTGTTTTCTGTGTCTTTAGTGTGTAGAGAGAAGGAACATCTGTTCGGTGCTGGATGATTTACATTATAACATCTAATGTTTATTATTAAGATGATAAGAATATTTCCTTTTGTCAATAACACATTTATCTTCAGCACTGGTATGTCAGCCTCCCTCCTAAATCTGGAACCTTTAGGTAATAGACTAAAGTACTAACCCTAATAGACTAAAGTACTAACCCTAATAGACTAAAGTACTAACCCTAACCCTAATAGACTAAAGTACTAACCCTAACCCTAATAGACTTAAGTACTAACCCTAACCCTAATAGACTAAAGTACTAACCCTAATAGACTAAAGTACTAACCCTAATAGACTAAAGTACTAACCCTAATAGACTAAAGTACTAACCCTAACAGACTTAAGTACTAACCCTAACCCTAATAGACTTAAGTACTAACCCTAACCCTAATAGACTAAAGTACTAACCCTAATAGACTAAAGTACTAACCCTAATAGACTTAAGTACTAACCCTAACCCTAATAGACTAAAGTACTAACCCTAATAGACTAAAGTACTAACCCTAACAGACTTAAGTACTAACCCTAATAGACTAAAGTACTAACCCTAATAGACTTAAGTACTAACCCTAACCCTAATAGACTAAAGTACTAACCCTAATAGACTAAAGTACTAACCCTAATAGACTTAAGTACTAACCCTAATAGACTTAAGTACTAACCCTAATAGACTTAAGTACTAACCCTAACCCTAATAGACTAAAGTACTAACCCTAATAGACTAAAGTACTAACCCTAATAGACTTAAGTACTAACCCTAACCCTAACCCTAATAGACTAAAGTACTAACCCTAACCCTAATAGACTAAAGTACTAACCCTAACAGACTTAAGTACTAACCCTAATAGACTAAAGTACTAACCCTAATAGACTTAAGTACTAACCCTAACCCTAATAGACTAAAGTACTAACCCTAATAGACTAAAGTACTAACCCTAATAGACTAAAATACTAACCCTAATAGACTAAAGTACTAACCCTAATAGACTAAAGTACTAACCCTAATAGACTAAAGTACTAACCCTAATAGACTAAAGTACTAACCCTAATAGACTAAAGTACTAACCCTAATAGACTAAAATACTAACCCTAATAGACTAAAGTACTAACCCTAATAGACTAAAGTACTAACCCTAATAGACTAAAGTACTAACCCTAATAGACTAAAGTACTAACCCTAATAGACTAAAGTACTAACCCTAATAGACTAAAGTACTAACCCTAATAGACTAAAGTACTAACCCTAATAGACTTAAGTACTAACCCTAATAGACTTAAGTACTAACCCTAATAGACTTAAGTACTAACCCTAATAGACTAAAGTACTAACCCTAACAGACTAAAGTACTAACCCTAATAGACTAAAATACTAACCCTAATAGACTAAAGTACTAACCCTAATAGACTAAAGTACTAACCCTAATAGACTTAAGTACTAACCCTAATAGACTAAAGTACTAACCCTAATAGACTTAAGTACTAACCCTAATAGACTTAAGTACTAACCCTAATAGACTTAAGTACTAACCCTAATAGACTAAAGTACTAACCCTAATAGACTAAAATACTAACCCTAATAGACTAAAGTACTAACCCTAATAGACTAAAGTACTAACCCTAATAGACTAAAGTACTAACCCTAATAGACTAAAGTACTAACCCTAATAGACTAAAGTACTAACCCTAACCCTAACCCTAATAGACTAAAGTACTAACCCTAATAGACTAAAGTACTAACCCTAATAGACTTAAGTACTAACCCTAATAGACTAAAGTACTAACCCTAATAGACTAAAGTACTAACCCTAATAGACTAAGGACTAAAGTACTAACCCTAATAGACTAAAGTACTAACCCTAATAGACTAAAGTACTAACCCTAATAGACTAAAGTACTAACCCTAATAGACTAAAGTACTAACCCTAATAGACTAAAGTACTAACCCTAATAGACTAAAGTACTAACCCTAACCCTAATAGACTAAAGTACTAACCCTAATAGACTAAAGTACTAACCCTAACGGCCCACTTCCACTACAGCGCGGAGCGCGGTTTAAGCGTGCCGTGCACGGCCCGTTTTTGGTTGCGTTACCACTTGGCGTAGTTCCGGCTAGCGGGTACTATTTCACAGTTTTTCTGGCCCCATAAAATCGAGGTTCTTAGCGGGCCAACAACCGGGCTGAGTCGGGCTGAGTATGCTAAACTAGAGAGAGAGAGAGAATCGCTGGCAAGGGGGCTACAACTACAACAAGATGGACATATTTGACCGTGATTTAATTGTAATACACGTTTCAAAATGATGCCGAAGTAACAACATACTGATACCGGTTAGTAAAAACCATGAATTAATGCTTTGTCAAGTCTGCAGACAGACGGCAGGCGAAAAACCTTTTAAAATGCGTGTTTTCTGAATGGAGATTGGCTAAGCTAACGCAGTATATGCTCCGACCGTCCACACTCACAACAACGGCCTATACAGACATAAATAAAGCAGCGAATGTATTCACCATGACACAGGCAGTCTGTGGTGTGTACTTGTTTAACTTTTGTCTAGTTTCTGAACAGATGTGAGGAGCTGTGAGCTCTGAGTGCTAACGGCTGATGTTGGTTTTGTGTTTCGCATTGAAGATGACGTCACGGCTCCACCTACACTGCGTTACTATAGTTACTGCCCCAGTTCCTAAACTGTAATGGAAACGCAGCATAAAGTGAGCCAGTCCTACCAAGGCCTAACTATACCGTACTAAGCCGAGCGAGGCCCTGCAGTGGAAATGCGCCATAATAGACTAAAGTACTAACCCTAACCCAAAAAGACATGCACACATTATTATTCGTCATGATTTTAACCTACATTTTGTATCGTTTACTTCTTATTTTGAGGGTTCCTAAATCATAATAAACACCTGTTAATTCCTTGATAATCACATGGAAAGTACCCCATGTGGGAATACATTATTGACTAATTTATTGTCATGCTATGAACTATTTATCGTGTCAAATCTGTGTGTTTTCTTCCTGTGTGTTCCTGCCTGTGAACATGACATAAGCTGCTCATTACATCTTCTCCATGATGGTATGTTTGTGTTTTTATCATGTTCTGTTGCTTTTACCTCTTAGAATGTTTAAGTAATTGTACGGTGTCCTTGGGTGTCATGAAAGGCGCCTTAAATAAAATGTATTATTATTATTTCAGATCTGCGAAGCTATTTCCGTAGACTCCTTTAAAAGCAAGACTCTTCGCATCTGTCTTCCTTGTCAACTAGCTTCCATCACCTAGTTTCCGTTCATCATTACCATCCCTTCAGTCACATGCTTTTATCACATGGCAATACTTCTGTGGATGTATAATGTTTTTATAATTGTTATGCTATGACGTTTGTATTTGTTTGTACAGCCCATTGAGGCATTTCTTGTGATTTGGGGCTATATAATACATTTTGATTTGATTTGATTATTATAACCAATTGCCCCTTGCTGGATGAATAAAGTTGATTAATTGATTGAATAGATTTGTCACCTGCTGGGTCGAAGGGCAGCGTGTCCCCCAGGACCCCGAACACCCCCTCGCTCTGGTCCCTGTTGGGCCAGGTGTTGTTTCGGGGCCCCTGAGGCTTCTGGCCCAGCATCTCTGACATCACGCTGTCCATGTAGGTGCTGACCAGGCCCAGGCTGTACAGGTCTGAGCTCAGGTCAGGCAGAGCGGGGGACCCCCACTGCCCGATGGGACCCAGGGGGGAGAGGCCTCCTGGAGGGCCCTGCTGAGGGGGAGGGGGCTGCTGATTGGAGGAGCCGCCGAGCCACTTACTGGGAGCTCTCTGCTGGGGGGGGAGGACCTGGGGAGGGGTCTGCTGCTGAGGGGGGGGAGGCTGCTGCTGCTGACTGATGGGCTGCAGGAGGTGCTGGTAGTACTGCATGGCCTGGGGGGAGGGCTGGGGAGGAGGGGGTTGTTGTTGTTGTTGTTGTTGGGGAGGAGGAGGCTGCTGTTGTTGTTGTTGTTGTTGCTGCTGCTGCTGCTGCTTCTGTGGAAGTTGGGGTTGAGTGGGGGGCTGCAGGTTGCTATGGGAGACAGATTGAGATGTGGGCGGGGCTCCGCTGGGGGGCTTCAGCTCGGCGGGGTTAGCAGACGCCACAGAGTTCCTCCTCTTCACCAGGGGGGACGCCTGCTGGGACTTCCCCATGTTGAACCCTGACAGGAAGTCGATGACGTCCTGCATCTCCTGGTCGGTGGGCAGGTTCATGCCCTGGTCCTCGAGGCCGTTGGGCAGCTGCGAGGGGTCGGGGGGGCCGGGCAGGCTGCTCAGCTGCAGGATCCCCAGGCCCTTTGACTTGTCCTCAGAGCTGCTGCTCAGCATGCTGCGGGACGGGGTGCTGGGGATGGAGTAGCTGCCCCCGCTGTTGGAGCTGGATGAGACCTTCTTGGTGAACTTGGAGGTCAGCTTGGAGATCGATTTGGGTAAACCGCTGGAGGTCTTGGAGCAGGGGCCGGGGGGCAGGTCCACCTGGACGTTGAAGTCAGGGGTCTCACGCTGCAGCTGGAGCTGGATGGTGGGCAGCGACTGCTCTCTGATGGAGGGAGGAGAGAGAAGAGGTTAATAGGGTTTATTGATGAATGTATTCAATCAGAATTAGATAGATAGACATATACAAGGTACACATATATGTTAACATGGCTTTCCAATTCTATACACATGGCTTACACAGATCAATTCATAGACTGCTTCCTTTTAGATTTGGAAATCACGCTAAAATAAAAATACTTTTTCAAGTTAAAAGATTTTGGTTGTTTGGTGTCCCCCCAAGAAACAACACAGCCTATTTTATTTAACCAAAATCAGATTCAACAAATACTTTACACATCACTTGTACAGAAATGTGTATTTAATGGTTGTTTATCATAATTTAAAGTTTCACTCACTTCCTCTCCTTCCACCTGTTGATGTCAAACACCGCGGTGTACAGAACGTCCACCAGACCCAGAGTCTTCTCCGGATCCAAGCTCCGCTGCAGCAGAGACATCGTGGCCGGGTCCTCCTTCAGACACCTGAACACACACACACACACACACACACACACACACACACACACACACACGATGAGACAAGAAATACAAATACAAACAATGTCTTGCATACAAATGATATGAAGACTCCACATTTGACATTCATAAACAAGAAAGATACAAACTGACGGGCTACAGATTCAGCTCCCAACAGACTTTAGTGGATTCATCATGGACGCCTGACAGCTCATAAAAACATCTTTCTACACTTGAATGCTTTTTTTAAACTTCTCACATTTGTGTGACGACAAATTATGAGAATGAGGATTACCAAAGAAATGCTATCCCTTGTTCAACCTAATCTTTCGTCTACAAATGTGCACAGAATGAAATGACTTGCAAAAAAAAGATATGAGGAAAAACTGTCTCAGGGAGTCAAGGTTAAGAATAAAGTTTTGAAGCATCAAACTATTTGGTACGGTCCTAGTTTTGAACGTGAGATCCTCACAGTGCCGGCTCTCTTACCTCCCATCTCTGTCGATATGCATATGATTTAAATATGTAAACTGTCTCTACACTTTGCTCGCTTAAACTCTGCTGTGTGTGCAAAACCACATGATCAAATATTGCATGCAACTGTACCTGGGAAACAATGTAAATGTGGTTCATGTGTCATATTTGTCATCAGAAACTGCACCTGTTTCGGATTTGTAAGCATACCTGTCTGTACCTATGTATGTATGTATGTATGTATGTATGTATGTATGTATGTATGTATGTATGTATGCATGCATGTATGTATGTATGTATGTATGCATGTATGTATGTATGTATGTATGCATGTCTGTACCTATGTATGTATGTATGTATGTGTATGTGAGCAATAACGTGTAGATTTGAGTGGACTGTAAACTGAGGCGGGTGTGATTTTTATGCACATCTCCATGTATGTTATATATGTTTGTGGAATAAATAAGTGATGTGATGAACTCACCATGTGGAGGGGACCTGGACGATCACCTTGGAGCCCTCCAGAGTGATCTGAGGAGCGTAGGCCTCCTTGTTCTCAATCTGCGCCGTATCAACCACCACCTGTTGAGACACACACACACACACATGCATCAGATACAAGATGTATTCACAGCAATCTAGCTCCTTATTCAGCATCAGTGTTGCCACAATACTGGAGTTTCTGACTTCAAAGCAACACCATGAAAGATATCGATATGCAACACAACGGGAAGATATTGCCCCAACATTGAGGGCAGAAAATGTAAGGTTTTTTTTATAATAAGGTAAATACTTCAAGGCTATAAATACTTCCGCAATGATATTGCCTCTCCTGGCTGGTAGAGAACAACACTGTAGTAAACATTCACAATGAGGGGCTGTGACTCAGGAGGAAGTCAACATGTCAATGTCTTGTGCAGATACTTAACTCCAAACATGGTTGAGTAAACATGAATGGAAAGTGTGTGTGACTGTTTATCACTCCTGAAGAGCAGAGGGCACCATGTATGGTAGTGTGTGAATGTGTGAATGAAGGCTTGTGCAGTAAAGTGCTTTGAGTCGTCACAAAGACTAGAGAAGCGCTTCATATTTGCAGCCTATTAAACAACTGTTTAACAATATTGTTCTGTAAGTATGACCAAAAGTGTCTGTGATGCAAAACATGCTAGTAAAAACTAAATGAATTTGTAATTGTATGTATGTTCAAGTAACAAATGAAGTTATTATAAGCTATATGCAGACATGCTCTACAAAATAAACTATTATTGTAACCTTAAATTACTTTGCAAACATCAGCAAAACTGTGTTGAAGAAAAAGCAGCAGGTACTGTTGTATTAATAATGTGGAAAATGATAAAATGAATAAGGTTTAAGACTTTCAGGATCAATATTTATGAAGAAATGTGGGCTATAAACTGTTAATATACTCCTGTGCTTACTGCAATACATTCACAAAAGTTAAATGGAGTGCTGTCTCTGTTGATCAATTTAAACACCTAAAAATGGTGGGATTAATTTCTTCCATTGTAATAAAAACCCAACACAGTCTTAAAACCAAACCCTCTGGTTTCACCCTTAATAGTATGTGAAACAAGCAAAGTTTACCAGTCATGGCTACACGGAAAAACATGACCTGAAGTCAAAAGTGTTTCATTGCCGTCTGGCATTCATTTCCCACCAAGCGGAGGGAGGCGGTTCAAGGTGAGGAAACCAAGCGCTCTCAGTCAGCTAGGGACAACACATACAAAGCCTTCCTGCCGGCTGCTACTCATTTATTTGAGAAGTTCTTTGAAAGTGGCCTTGGCTCCTCGAGGTCCCTCAGCTGGGTCACAGAGAGGGAGGGAAAGTGGGAGGAGACTATTTCCTGTATTGCAGGAAGTGGCCTTATTGTTATTAAAAAAAGCAGGTGTATCCTCAGAAACCCCGGGCAGAGAAAGCAGAGCATTCGAGTTAACAGTCCGTCAGCCTTTAGAGAGACACGTTGACATCAGGGCTGGAGAGAGGAGGAAATGAAGCCAAACAGACGAGGTCAAGTAATTCTCAGAAAGCCGTGACTCGTAGGAAAGAGGGAGTTGCTGCTGGGGAATTTTTTTTCCAGCAGACAGCAAAAGATAAATGTTGATTCTAACTGTGAGGAAAATAAAGAACTTTGAGGAGAAACAGTGTGTGTGGGGAGGTAAGAGCAGTGTGTGATAATGAGTGTTTTCTGCTTTTTTCTGCTAATATCATATTAAACTTAATATATTTGTTGATGTCTTTAAACGTATTGCATCACTAGTCAAAACCCCAAACTAGGGTGGACATTTTTTTTATTTTTCTACTATGTTCTGACATTTTATAGTGTTTCTCAAAATGGGGTCCCAGTACTCCAAGAGGTAGAAGTACTTCCAAGTACTTTGGAGTACTGCAGAGGATACTTGTGTGGTTAACTGAACAAATATCAGTCATGCATTCTTCGTGAAAATAATATCACTATGTTAGTTTCTTCATTTATATTTTAAATGCAATCGCTAACCACCATAAAATGGCCGCTGCCGCATAAAAACACATCCATGTTTTTTTAAGTGAGAGCAGGAAAGGGGTCTTGATCTTAAATACAAGACAAAGAAAAACAATGGTTTTGTGGCTTAAACTTAGAAGCAATAAAAGTTTAAGAAACACAGTTTGAGTTCAAATAACTTAATTGAGAGTGAATAGTTAAGTGCTTTGATTTGTGGCAAACACTAGAACATTAGTATGAGTATAGGACGTGCAGAGATATTCTACAGAAACAGAGAGAATGTCTGACATTTTGTAGACCTAACGATTAATCAAGAAATAAAATAATAGTTAGCTGCAGCCCTAATAGAGTGGAGCAGGGACGACGTATTTGTGTAGGCCGACCCGGAAGTAAGCTGCATGGGTTCCCTCGACAAAAAAGCAACGGGATTTCTCCATAGGATTTTGGAAAATAGCTCGAAATGAGGTCTGTGGAAAACTAACCTGTTTGATAAATGCACGTTTTGTTTAGGGATGCCAGAAACTGACCATGATCAAATTCGAAAATCGGACAGCCCTGGCGAATATTAATAGATTACTCGCCGCCGCCCCCCCCCCCCCCGCGGGAGAGAAAAAAATGTATTTTCACAGAGCTTGTATTTTACTTCTTTTGCACTTGTCAGTTCGAAGTAGTTCCATGAGGAACTCTTCTTTGTTCATCTTTAGTTGTGTTGTTCTCACTGTTCTGTATATCGCCAATAAATCAATCGCACGTGTGACGGAGAAGGGGGGGGGGGGGGGGGGGGGGGGGTCGGTGTGTAGCAGGCAGCAGCAGTCTGCACTCAGCGGCTTCCTCCATGTTTACAGAAAAAACAAACTGGTGGTGTGACCAATGGCCATTTACAATTATTAATACTATTACTATTATTAGCATTAGTCTATATTTTGGTTGAAACTAAGCCACGAAAAAAAAGAAAAACATAAATAATAAAAAAATATATAAATAAAATCGAATTTTAAAAATAATCTTCGATTATGGAGACTGTAACGAATATTCGAAAAATCGAATAATCGCTGGCATCCCTAGTTTTGTTCAGCCGAATAATCTCCACATGTCTAACCTACTTTTATAATTTTCTAATCATAAATCTAATCACCAGAAGCAAAATGCTAACGTTATGCTATAAACGAACTACAGCCGAGTACAGCAGCACGACTTCAACGTCACGCCAACTTAAGATCGTTATTCAAAAATACAGATTCTAAATTGTACAAGTTGAAGCGTTTCTTTGAACAGTTTGCAGGAGGCAGGTACTTGCTTTCAAGCAGAACAGGGCAAACAAACTCAGCGGGAGTGTTTACGTGTTCGGTGTAATGACGTACAACGTCCTTGACAACTTCTGTAGTCCTATTCAGCCACTTGTTAACAACCATCGTTTTTCAGACACGTCAACTCTTCAGAAATCACCAGTGGGGTCACTGCTGATGGGTTTAATGTCGTAGAACAAAACGTGATCCGTCTCTTACATTTGTGTCAACCACAGACCTTATTTCCAGATATTTTTCAAAAACATGTTCAAAAACCCGTTGACTCTGAGTCGAGGGAACCGGAAGTGGTTACATGCCAACTCACTTCCGGGTTTTAGGACTCGTTCCTGCACCACTCTATGTTGCACGATGCTGTGTGATCTATTCTGGGTCGAGTGTCCAAAGGACCAGATAAGAAGCAGCGAACACTCGTCCATCGGTTGCTTTACAGCTCGAGAACATCGGGAACACTCCCTCAGACCACACAGAGGATATAAACATCGGAGCATAAACACACCGGTGTTAATGTCCTGTCGCTGACCCCCCCATCCCCGTTACTCTCCTTTTCAACAGGAGAGGGAGTTGTGTTTTCAAACCAGCGCAGGCGAGCCTCTCCTTCACCCAGATGCTGCAGGAATGTCTCTTCTCCTTTGTGTCTCTCTGGTGTTTGTTTACACCACAAAGCAAGCAGACAGATCTCATCTCCATTACAAATCTGACAAACAATGGCACGCAAGATGAAAAACCCACGGACGCACAAAGGGAGGGGATTCAGAGACTGAAGCAGGAGTGTGAGTGAAGAACAACAGGCCTCTTCACGTCACACTGCCACCTTCTTTCTGGTATTGCTACACCGTGGTGATGGATGTCACCAAGAGGAAACCCTGAATGAGGGTCCACTTGATAACCTCCGACACAAATGTTTATCCAAGTATACCTTCAACAAACACAAACCTACTCTTAGTAAAGACAGAAAAACTAGATTTGACTAGTGGTTGTGTTTAATGATGTCACCGTTATGCTCACTATATGTAAAGGAATTTATTTTTGTCCTGGTAAAGATTTTAAAGAAGCTTCTGGATACAGAGAAAACAAAGATTTGATATCAACAAGTTGCAATACATGTACAGGGTATATGCAGGAATCCTGAAGTCAAATGTAAAACCTTTTAAGACCTTTTTTAAGACCCTTTCCATACATTTTAAGACCTCATCGCCACTTGGAGTTTTAACCGGTTACATTGGTGACACACTTTACCTCACATTGACTATACACAGTATTGATTGTCCTTCCTCCTTATCTTCCAACCATTTGGATGCAAACTTGCATTTCCCCATAACGATGTTGTTTAACAACCGGCGTAAACGGACCTTCGCGCTATCAAGCAGTGAGCGTGCAATGTCCTGTTCAGGCCCCCCCCCGCCCACTCGATCGGTATCGGCCGATACTGATTCCGCCGATCGCCCCCAAAATTGGCGATCGGAGCATCCCTAATAACAACCGAGTTAAACCAAACTTAAAGGGGACCTATCGTGCAAAATGCACTTTTGTACGTCTTTTATACATGAATATGTGTCCCCGGTGTTCCAGGGAACTCACCAAGTGTCAGAAAACACAACCCTCTCTATTTTCCTCCATACCCAAATCTCTAAAAAAGGGGCTGCAACGGATCTGATAAAAACTGATCCAGATTTGAACACTGTCCTGACGTCAGGACGGTGGCGCTACGGCTATTGGGCCAACTCCACCAATCAGGAGGAGACAGCCACGGCCATTGCCGTTCGAAAGCGCTGGAGACGCTGTAGTACATATGCCAGGCCTGTAGGTGGTGCTGTTCTCACTGAATCAGCCCTTGCAAAAACAGAGCTATGAATTGTCAAATTGAGCAAAATGAGGCATGGCTAAAATGCATGATCTGTTTGGTATTTTGAAAAAGAAAAAGTATAAATATGCCTTATATAGGTATGGTCCTACACTATATTATTCAAATATAGCATGATAGGTCCACTTTAACTTTCCCAAAATATGAACTGTAATTCAAAAGCATAAACACCCATTTATATTCAGATAGTACAAAGGTGTTGTTCAAGTTAAAAATAAATATACTTCTACAAGAAAAGAAACCACAAAATTCAACAAAATTTGAAATGTATGTTAATTATTTTGTATTTTGATGCTTTGGCAACATTGTTTCGTTTAACTTTCATGCCAATAAAGCCCCTTTGAATTGAATTGAACTGAACTCCCAGGTGTGTCCATTTCTCTGGACACATGTATCGGCCTGAACTCAGATATGAATGCTAGTGAGAACTGTGGAAATAAAGTCAAACGTTTTATAAAGAAAATGAGGGGCTACAGTCCGCATGCGTTTGGTACCATTTCAAAATGTTTATTTCTTATTTGTATATGTGTATTTGAGTTGTAAACAATTAAAACAACTGAGTTAAACCAAACTAAACCTGCCCAAAATGTCATTCAAAAGCATAAAGGTTTCTTTATATTCAGCTAGGTGTTGCTCAAGTCAAATTAAATATGTTTCTACTGAGGCTTCTGTTGACTCATTACCCTGAACTCACATATAGCGGACTGAAAATAGTATTCCTCATAGTTGTGTATGATTGATTGATTGATATTCCAGCATGATGCGTGTGGCTGCGAGCCCGTGCAGCCAACATGTCGATGTATCCTTGGGCAAGATACTTAACCCTGAGTTGCTCCCGATGGCCAACAGTGTGTGAATGTTAGGTCCTAGAGTAAGGTACACTGCTCTGTATGAATGGGTGAACGACATGTAGTATGTAAAGCGCTTTGAGGGGTCTTAAAGACTGGATAAAGCGCTATATAAGTACAGTCCATTTACCATTTACACACATATTGTATTTATCCTTTGAGGTCTATCTATATTATTGTGATTATATAAATGAGGATTATTATTACTATTCAATTGTTGTCAAATTGTGGATGTGCTGTGTGGCTGTCTGTGTGTGGGGGGGGGGGGGGTGTGTGCTGTGCATTGTTCTGAATGTTGTGTTAAATGTGTGAAACTCAATAAAGAGTATTTATAAAAAATACATATATATATTTCTACAAGAACCGACATCACATTAAATCCCAGGTGTGTCGATCTCTGACAGATTTCCAGTAATAGTCACAGATGCTTCTTTTCTCTGGATCATGTCTTGTACTCACCAGCCCGGCCTGGGCGAACAGCAGCTGCACGGCCGTCTTGCAGGCTCCTCTCCAGCTGGAGGGGCACACCTGGTTCAGGACCTCCGTGACGGGGGAGTCGTCCCGGGGCGTCACTCCGTTCTGACCCAGCGCCTCCTTGATGAGCTGCAGCATGGTGTGCTGAGGAGACAAAACACAGGACGCCATCAACCGAAGATTCAAAGGTTTTATTGTCATATGCACAAAGCTACAGTGTAGGGCTGTGCAATTCATCGTATTTTAATCTTGATTTTGGCTTGCAACGATTGCGAAAACAACGTAATGTAAATAAAACGATTATTTTTGCTGCATTCCCTTTCGCAATGATGCTCTCAATTTGTCTTGCGTTATACATCCTGCCCGCGCGTGCGCTGCCCCCCCTCCCTAAAAGCCCTCTCGGCAGGTTGTGTTATGACTTGCAGTCTGTTTAATAAATCCATACAAACACGTTACAAGGGAAGCTTTAGTTGCCTGTATTCTCCGGTCTCTAGCGTACAGTCAACTTTCACTAACAGGCTATATGCAGGAATCCTGAAGTCAAATGTAATTCCTTTTAAGACCTTTTTTAAGACCTTTTTTAAGACCTTTTTTAAGACCCTTTCCATACATTTTAAGACCTCATCGCCACTTTGAGTTTCAACCGGTTACATTGGCGACACACTTTACCTCACATTTACTATATACAGTATTGATTGTCCTTCCTCCTTATCTTCCAACCATTTGGACGCAAACTTGCATTTCCCCATAACGATGTTGTTTAACAACCGGCGTAAACGGACCTTCGCGCGCTATCAAGCAGTGAGCGTGCGATGTCCTGTTCAGATGACGTCAAATCCAACGGGATGCCATAAATAAACTACACAGAATCACACTACACACCTACGCAATGATTACATTCAGGCAGACTGTAGAATACAACCTCTTTGGACAATTTATATACTTATTGAAACAAGCTACAAAACGTAATACCTTGGAAAATGCCGTTTAATACTTTTTAATAGCCTTCATTTTCGTTAAATTGCTTTATCAACTTTTAATACTTTTTAAGACCCCGCGGACACCCTGGCCGTTTCTCAATCGCGAGGATGCTGGCTTGGTAGCACAGCCGAGCCGAGCATCTTGCTTCAGAAGCAAGGCAAGAATACTTCCTGGCATTCGGAAAACAAAGAGTGGAACAGGCTAGCAAGTGTGCAGGTGTGCGTCATATGAGAGGCCCCGCCTTACATCTTCCGCCACAGATTTGGGGAAATTGGTCCATGCGCAAAGCATTGTGGGGATTTTAAGGACGCGAAGTCTACCCATGTGCAGCCTCGAAATTTCCCCCAAACCAAGGACGCGGCCTCGGTGGAATTCCAAGTATGCTGGAGATTGGAACAGTCCTTCGGCGGCACTCGATGACGTAGCATCCTTGAAATATTGGCTTGGAAGCCAATATCCTCGCGATTGAGAAACGGCCCCTGACTAACCTCGTCAAGCCGGAGCCTCTTAGCTACTTCCGGTTTCCGGGTAAGAGGTTACCAAAATAAGAGTACTGCGTGTAGCAGATTAAACATTACAGGTTGACATTAGTTATCATATTTATATATGTTTAGTAGGTTGTGGAAGTGCGCTCCAAAATATTTGTTGCTCTTTATTGATATTTATTATTTTGATATTATTTATTTAAATGTAGATAGAAATGTATTGTTTATTTTTTTATTGGTTTTTCAGTTGAATTACACGTAAAGTTCAGGGTATTCAACTGTTGAAAACATACTGTTCAAATTATTATTTTTAAAGTTCAATAAATGGATGTTTTCAAAGTCAATGAATAATCGTATTTAATATCAATTATTGACCAAAACAATCGTGATTATGATTTTTGCCATAATCGAGCAGCCCTACTACAGTGTAGAAATGGCAATGAAATTATTCTGACCTGAGCTCCTTCAACAATGCAACATATATAACGAAATACAACCATCACTGCAGACTCTATGCATTACGTTAATGCACATATCTGTTTTTTTATTATAACTGCAAATATTTTATTCCATTCTATCACATTGTAAATACTGCCTTATCTTATTTTACTACACTTTTAATGTTATTATAGTATTCTTATAATATCTGTGTTTTTTTATTCTTGTTTTACTTTTATGTATGAACCACGACATCGAGTCAAAGTCCTCGTACGCGTCAACCTACCTGGAGATAAACCTGTTTCTGATTCACTGTCTGCTGACGTTACACGAAAGATGGAACCACCATTTTTTGATTTCTGTTCTTCTTGCACTATTTCTTATTGTTTTACCGTTTATGTCTTATATATATATATATATATATATATATATATATATATATATATTGATGTTGCATTGTTGAAGGAGCCTGGGATTTAAGATTTCCATAACTACACTGTAGCCACTGTGCATAGAACAATAAAACATATTCATCTTAAAAAAAACAAGCTTTTTATTAGTTTACGCCAGGAGAGGGCGCACTGAGAGTTAATTTCATGCATCAGTGTCACGTGGGATTGAGACAGCCACGCCCTTTAAGGGACTAGCTCATAAAACTATTAATTTATGACTGATTATGACCCACCCATGGTCACAGAGAAATGAAGAATTGACAATTTTCTCACAAGTCGCACATTTTCAGAACATTATGACCATAAAAAGTAAAATCAGGTCAGAAATTACTTTTTCTTCCAAGAACTGCCTTTGTCTCAGTAACACACTCTTCCGTAATCTAGCAACACCGATATATTTTCTCTTTGTTGGTGACGCTAACAGTCTAGCTTTAACGTTAGCAAAACTGTTTACAAGTGTTAAGCTAACATTTACAAATGTCCTAGTTAAGTAATGCTCAAAGTGGCTGCTTAAATATCTAAAGTGAGCAAAAGGAAATACATTACACATTCATTAAATTCATAAAAAACACATTATAGCATGCCATGAAGTGTTTACCATTTGGTAGCACTGGCAATCACATCTTTGCTGAGAAAATGTTTGACTATGACAAAAAACGGTGTATTGAATTAAACATGTTTAAGGCGAGACACTACAGGTGAATAGAGTAATTTGTTTAACTTAAATATATCAGCAAGACATGTCTCCAGTTAATTACTTACATTAAGACAATTGTTTTTCGTATTACAAGTTTTCTGAAATAGCATGTTTAAATATGCAAATGATCCATTATCTAATTAAATATGCACACATTTTTAGACATTTCAGGAACACAAACCTGAACATTGGATACAGTCAGGTTCTTGTTTCAATTTGTAGTCATATGTAAATTATAGTGTCCGTCCAAAAAATAAACCATTACTTATAGTGAAAACCACCCTTGAATGATGGGATAGTAGACTAAAAGCTTTAGGAATCCAAACTATAACATATAATAAGTACCCTGTATCAAGATTGATGCAAAACAAGTGACATTTTTAGAGAGATTTAGCAAAAAAAAACACTTCTGGGGTCATTTGGGTGCATTTTCCATATCTCTGGCCCCCCTGGCTCGATTTTGATGATTGACATCTCTTTGTAACCGTTAGAGCCAATAGAATCGAGGGGAAGTTCCTAAAATCCATCTAAACATTACCCATTGGTGAATGAGTGATGCGCAGCCAGAATGCCCCGGAACCGGAAACTGTCATACACTCTCGTAGCTATCGTTAGCAGCCATTATGAAAACTCAGTTATTGACATAAATATGAAGATGGATTATCAGTAATCATTTCAAAGGGACACAGACACATTGGATTAACCTATGGATTAACCTTCAGCAGCGTTTTAATGCCATTGAACACAATTTTTGATCAGAACAACAGCAACGGTAAGACTTAATTTCCGATTTTGGCTCAGTGATGATACTAATACCTGTAGAATCTGTGGAATCTCACGATGCTAATCGATATCTTGTTTGTGCAGATACGATAAGTAATAAGGGTATTTTAACGTGAGTTCTGTGCTAAGTGTGTTAGCATATTTTCGCTCAGGGCTCATTTAGACGCTTCTTGTGAGACTGTTTTGTTTCGGTAAAAATGGTTCGTATCGTCAGTTAGCTGAGTTTCTTCCCGTTAATCGGGTATGACACATTAATCGTTTTTTAAATGTTAAGAAGCCCTGAGACACAGTTTCGTGAAAAAAAACCCCAGGCTTAACAGGTTAAGACAACTTCAACTTTTTAAGAGAATGAGGTTGGTAGAATTAGTATGAAGTTTTGAGTGGAGTCGAGTCCGTACCGTTTTCAGTTTGAGGTTTTCAGCCGCGGACTCGTTGAAGGACACTCCTTTGAGGAAGTGAGAGCCGATCTGCACGGGGATGGTGGGCAGCTCGCACTGGATTGGCTGAGAGGTGGTCTGCATCCGGCCCGCCTGCTGAGCCTCCGCCTCACTGCAGCAGCTCTGCACACACACAGCATGTAAACATACACACACCAGTGCAAAACATACACAAAAAAACATTGACACAAGGAGCCACTAAAGAATAATTGTTTAACATTGAAATGAAGAAAAAAGTGGAAAAGGAAAAACTGAATTAGATGATGAATAGGTCAAAATTCAAGAATTAATAAATCGTACATTGTCCACTATAACATCATTGTCAATTATCCTGCCGTAGTAATCATTCTATCAATCTTTAAGGCGGTAGACAGGTAAAAACCGGTCATTTTGAGTTTGAGCTGCTTTGCTTACATTTCAGAGGAGAGGAGAGAAAACATTTAAAATTCAAATTGAGGTGTTTATTTTCTAACTTACTAATTGGGACTATAGATGTCTGCTAAATTCTCCAAAGGTTAGCATCCGATAACACATTATTAGCATATTTTAACAGTTCAGAAAACAAAAACAATTGTCTTAATGAACTGGTTATATATATACACGTAACGTCCTAACCCTATTCACCTGCAATATATTCCCTTGGAAGTGCACTCACCTGTAAGGCCGCCTCCACAGCTTTGGGGTTCAGATGGAAGCCGGCCTTCAGAGCGTACTCGCTGTGACCCAGACTCTCTAGAGCTGCTTTATAGGCCTGGAGAGGAAAACATAATATCATTAAAGACACCGTCTACTTCCACCCTCTTTACTAAATCTAAATGCATTTACTTTTGAGGAAATATAAATAAAAAGTTGTTTTACAAGATCATCAAAATGCACTTTTTGATGTCTTTTATACATAAAGATGTGTCCCCGGTGTGTCGGGGAACTCACGCAGCGTCAGAAAATAAAACCCTCTCTTTTCCTCCGTACCCAAATCTCTAAAAACGGGGGTACAACGGAACTGATCCAGATGCGAGTCTGATATGACGTCATATCGGAAATGCAGACCCACAGCACTATCAGAAAGTTGCTATCAGAAACAATGCCCGACTGTTTTGGATGTAATATGGTCTGTGTTTACATTAGCAAGCATCGCTAACACTCAGAGCTAACCTGTACTGGAGAGAGTATGTGTGATCACCTTGTTGTATAACGCATGAGAGAAAAAGCATTTGAGCTCCATACTGTTTCAGAAATAATCCTTATATATCTGAGACCTATAATATATGCCTAAAAATAGTATAATAGGAGACCTTTAAGTGGATGTCCGTCTTAATTCAAGATGTTAACAGCCAAACGTGGTGTTTTGCATCACACTGCACCTGCAAAGCGTTGTCGATCTTCATGTTGAGCTCCTTCAGCTGGTGCTCGGGGATGTTGGTGTTGTTGGAGCAGAAGAGATGCTGCACCTGGAGGCCGGCCAGGCAGCCGTCACGCCCCCTCTCTCTCAGCCGGGACATGGCCTGAGGAACGCAGAGCACCAGGTTATTATTATGTATTCATTTCAACAAGGACCATGCATTAGGGGTGGGGGAAATAATCGATACAGCATACGGACGCCAAGTATCGATATGTTATTATATAAACTGTGGCATATCCCTCCGAAAGATGGTCGTACATTTGACATGTAGCATATCGTAGAATCGCAATACTATCGTATCGTGGCTTAAGCATCGTGATAGTATCGTATCACATTATAGCATGCCATGAAGTGTTTAACATTTGGTAGCACTGGCAATCACATCTTTGCTGAGAAATGTATTATACTATTAAGGCCAGCAGCTTCTACTGAAGCCTTCCGAGTAAATCGACAGAACTCCGACACCTCCTCATCTCCACCGCTCCCATGTTTTCTTTTGTGTTGCCATAAGTTATTCTCTCTCCGTTGGTGCGCGGGGCTAATGCTAATGCTAATGCTAATGCGAGCAAATACAATGGCGGCTTCAAAAAACGTTTCAGAGTTTTACGGGGCGTGGTTTGCAATTCGCCCAGCCAATCAGAAATTGGTACTTTTTTCTCCCCAGGAAAGTACCACCTCTCTAGCAGGGACTGAAAAGGGGGGAAAAGTTCTCATGAACTAAGTTCTCTTTTTGGTGTGAACGCAAAATCCCAGGAACTATCGGAACTAAACGGGAAAAGTACTCCGGTGTGAAAGCGCCTATTGCAGCTCTACAAGAATAATTTGAGAATGATTGGATTGTAGGGCTGCTCAATTAATTGTATTTTAATCGCAATTACGATTACGGCTTGCAACGATTACGAAAACAACGTAATCTAAATAAAACGATTTTTTTTAATTATTATTATTTTCTTTTTTTATAAACTTTTTTTTATTATTGGTTTTTCAGTTGAATTATACTTAAAGTTCAGGGTAATCAACTGTTAAAATCATACTGTCGTTTTTAATAATCGTGACATCAATTATTGACCAAAATAATCGAGATTATGATTTTTGCCATAATCGAGCAGCCCTATTGGATTGTACTTTAAAATTAGGTCACCATCATTTTGAATAAGTGTTTGTCTGGGTACGTGTCGAACAAATGTAAATAAAGCTTGTTTAAAAAAAGAACAGGAAGGTTTTACAGGGATGTTTTCTTTGAATATCGCCAAATCTTGCAAAGTAGAAGGATTTGTTTTGATAAGTGTAGAGCACTGGTACATTCAAACGTTTTGGTGATAAAAAGCATGTGTGCAGCTTCTGAAAAAAAGAGTCCCGGCCACCTCCCTTTCGCCTAAACGCCCGTCCAGCACATTCTACCAGAGTCTCTCCAGGCCTTTCCCCCTGCATGGCTTAAACTCTGCATGCCAGGGCTTAACAGATCAATCATCCCACTATTCTCCTCTCTGCCTCACTCTATACAACACAGCTCAAAATGGGCCAGAGGGACTGATTAGCCTGGGGGATTAGTCAGGTCCTGTTTCAAAACTGCATCCCTGGATGACCCCTCCCGCCTTTGCAGTTTTATTTTATTATTTGTATGTATTTATTTTTTCATATGTCTATTTTATTATTATTATTTATCTCTTTTTGTACTTTTTTTCTATTTCTTATGTTGGCTATGTAGATACAGCTAAGTGAAAATGGAAAAACTGTTGACCAAAATGTGAACATGTAAGTATAATGAAACTGAATCTGAAATAAGTTGGAAAAAACAAGATAAAAGGGGTGCAGAGGGGATAACATTGCAGGTTCACAGACAAACTACAGACAAAAAATAATAATAGAGGAAATAGGAAATTGAGGCTGGAATGGATGAAAGGCTGGCATTCCTCAGGAATGTTACCTCACACACACAAACCCCATATTTGCAATAATAATAATAATAACTTAAATGTATGTAGTGCCTTTCAGGGGACACGTGTTGAACACCTGAACTTTTGAAAGAACATATATAACATTCATTTGTTTGCAACTCGCATATATCAATATTCCAATTACTGCATATAGACTATTCTGCACAGTTTCTATCATATTCTGTTTCTATTATATTCTATTTTATTTACTTGCACTATTTTATCTGTTTTATTGTGTTGCACTGTTGGAGGAGGAGCCTGTGACCTAAGATTTTCATTGCCATAACTACACTGTAGCTATGCACACATGACAATAAAAGCCTTGAAACGTGAAGATAAAAACAAGTAAAAGCTTTTACGAAAACACTCAACTGTACGATCTACCTTTACACAGGCGGTTATTTTACTGCACAGAGAGTTAGTGTGTACCAGGAAGAGTCCTAGGTCTCGCTGTGGCTGCATACCTGAGCTGCACCTTTCCACAGCCTAGAGGCCTCCTCCAGCTCCGTGAGGGGGCCCAGGTCGGAGCTCTGGGAGCGGGCGTTGGCGCTGCGCTCCTGGGCCTGAGCGAGGGCCTCGGCCAGGCAGGACTGAGCCACGGGCTGCACCTTCTGGAGGGCCTGCGACAGAAACTGGAAATGGACCTGCATCACCGTGAGGAAGCACCGACCCAGCACCTGCAGACAGGAGAGAGCGATTACATCAGACTGTACGTCATACAGAGGGACATCTATACAGAGATGGTAACAGTACACACATCCTTTACTCAAGTAGAAGTACAGAAGTATGGGCTTCAAAATGTACTGAAGTAAAAAGTACCCATAACTAGCAGCTGTTTTAAAGAGTACCTGACCCCCCTTTATATTAACAGAACAATAATGTCATTGTTAGCTAATGAATGTTTCCATGCTGAACAACGGCAACGTGACAACGTTTTCATTGGTCCCTCTTCTTTAGAGAAGACCAGGAAATGATGGATACACGGATCGTGTTCAAATCAATAGGCACGCAATGACTCTAAATAATAATGATCACGCCACCAAACACACATTCAAACTAAAGGAACCAGCCTGTTTGGAAAATGTAAGAAGTAGAAAGTACAGGTATTTGTGTTCAACATGTAAGAAGTAGAAAGTACAGGTATTTGTGTTCAACATGTAAGAAGTAAAAGTAAAAAGTGGTCAGAAAAATAAGTCGTGGAGTAAAGTACTGATGAATGTCTGCGGGCTAAGAAACTAACATGTATGTCCACATACTTCAGTGGTTAGTTAACACTCTGGAGAAACAACGTCATGTGCTACTTTACAAAATACCGCTTTACTTATACCTCAAAATCTCTAGTTAGTCGGATACATTTTGTATATTCTCAGGCCACCAAAAGATCTCTCAACAAAGAATCTACATAATGTATGAACTCCAGTACCAACTTGAGCTAGTTTTTGCTTAGTTTTTCACACCTTACGAATAGAGAACATGAAGTTTGCCAGGAAAAGCGCAGACCTTTTTCCTTACATTAAACATTGTATATTACCATGTACACAATGAGGAAGATATTAGTCTTGGAATGAGTGCGATATATTCATACTTTTTACAACACAGTGCATCTTCATAAAACATTCTCACACACTTTAAATAAAGGTTGACTCAGCGATCACATTTCCCACCAGATCACACACGAGTTATATCAGCAGTTTGTCCTCAGGCAGCTCCTTTTAATGATAATATAAATAACAGAAGCATTTGTCCACCTCGTTTCCTACGCTTCGCCACTGCAAGCACAATGAAAGGAAATCTTAGAGCCAAGGCCGTGTCACGGAGCAGAAACCAGAGAACATTTTTCTAAATAAAACCTCTTGCCACAGCACATTACAGCCAACTGAACATGCTTTTGCATTTGTGGCAAATCGTGTGCTGTAAACAACAGATATCAAACATTTGAGGAACAGTACAATCTGTGTTTATACTTGCAAGCAAAAGGCAGATGGAAAACATATTAGATTAAATATGAACGTCAGAGTGTGTTTGTGTTTCTGTGAGAGGAAAGCTTTGTTTATTTACTTAAAGATTAGAAAACGCAATTTTAAGGGACATGTTTCTCTGTATGCAAACATTATTTCCTACATTTACTGATCCGTCTTATCCTAGTATCCAGGGCTCGACAGTAACGGTTGGCAGAAAAAAATGTCAACCACTTCTTGGCCTTTGGTTGCCATCAGTGGCAACCAGTTTTTAACATAAAGAAATAAGGACAGCAAACAGCAGAATGTGCACCCCAAAATAGATAAATGTTAATTATTTGTTGTATTAAGAGTGATATTTAATTATTGTTGTGACCACTCGGAACCTGATACTTAAGTTGCACGTGCATTGGTGTGATTACGGAGCCAGAAAGCGATGCACGTTTACTCGCGTGCGCGGTGCGCCGTGTGTTTGTTTTACAAAAAATGGCAAAGCAAATTAAGTTGTTTGACTGTGGGGTAAAAGGTTCGGCCAACACCTCAACTTCTCAAACGAATGTTCAAAGTTATTCAACTGATAAAGCGCAAGGTAAACCCGAACGAAAAGCAAAGAGGAAATGTGTAAAGTCTTGGGAGGCGAAACATTCTGCTCCGTTGTCCATTCACTTCCGGTAAAAGTTCCTTCAAAATAAGAGTCCCGATCTTATTACTACCAAAATAAAAGTGCAAAACGAAACTTTACCATAGGAAAATATTGGCATAAAATGATAATCACTTCTATAAAAAGGTAACACATTTTAAATATAGTTAGACATATTAAAGGTAATTTAAAGCATTAATAATTCATATCTAATTCTTAACTGTGAATGGTTTTAATTTATTTAACATTAGAAATGTATTAGTCTGGCCAATCAAGACTTCAATGCTGAAGGGCCAATGGATCTATGGTGGGGGTCAGCACAAAGGTCAAGAAAACCCACATTTGAAAGGAAGACAAAGGATGACCAAGAAACTAGTGATCTGTGAAGAACATAACAGCTGCACTACTGGTTTTTTGTATACCAGCAATTGAGGGTGGACAAGTTTACTACCACTTAAGTTTCAAATAATTGTGTTAATTACTTATTGTAAAGCATTTGAACATTCTTTTGTGTCACATGTTCATTATTAAGTTGATGTATAACTGTATAGTATCTTAATTATTTAAAATATAAGGTGACTTGAAATGGCAACCGTATTTTCAGTTTTGGCAACCAAAAGCTGATGCCTGGTTGCCAGCCTGGCAACCACTTTTAAAAGTTAGCGTTGAGCCCTGTTATCTGTAATATTTTGTATGCATGCTTCTTGGTTATTATTAAACTGTCTTTGGCTCTTTTCACACTGTAACAAATGCACATTTCCCCTCTGTGGGACGAATAAAGGTATTCTGATTGGGTGAAGATTTCACACAAAATAATACATCTATTTATTGCACACAAACACAAGTATTTCCAGGTAACATACACGCCTAAATATAAAGTTAGGTTTAACACCAAAGTGAGTGTGTTTTATTTAGTAAGAGGAAATAATCCCGGCTTAGAGGCAGTTTTTTGTTCAAAATAAGAGTGATTATAATAAGGGGAAATATGAAGGTGTGTTTCAAGCTTGTTATGTAAATAAGTCATCGGGATTTGTTTCTCATCAACTAAGATATGTTAGAAAATGTTTTCAACATGAATTGAATTATTTGAAAAGTAGTCTTAACACATGAATACTACGGTGTAATATATGTGTACATATACATTTAAGAAGAACAATATAAGACAAGCACAACTTTCATCTGTGGGCCATATTTCATTTAACTTTTTTAATTAGCTGAGGGCCGACTCAAAATGGCCGTAGTTTGGACACCCCTGGCCTAAAGAGATGAAACCTTGTTGGAAAATGTATTGTTTTCATAACAACTACAAAGCAGATTCATATATAGATTTGTTTTATATTTTAGCCTGGACTTTTGAGCTTTGAACGCTGCTTTATGGTTTTTCTCATTCTATGCAAAGACCGAGTGTAAAAGGTTAAACTGTTATTATCACAACATGCACTATTTGATTTGACCAGGGATGTTTTGTCCTATTTAATGTATCCTGTTGTTTCCTGTCACCTTTCTACTCTTCACTGTAAAATATAAAGATAAAATGACAAAAAAAAAAGGTTGATTTGACTGATAGGATTATCCCAATTATTTCCCAGAATAAACAGATTTAAAATAATATCATTAAAGCAAAAATATTGGGGTTGTGCCCTGCTTTACTGACTGTTGGTTACACATTTAGTTTACTTGTCTCTAAAGGGTCCCAAAACACAAACAATTGGACTGAAAAGTGTATTGTCGCTTCCAACATTTCTATACCTTTGGTGGCAGTCATCTTCTACGATTTAGCAAACTTCACATGTGTTTGGTAAAACAAAGTGTTGCTGAAATGCATCTTGAGACGGGAGTTTGTCGAGTTGGCATGCTAATATAAAGCGGAGGATAATAGCAAACCCCTTAGTTTTGTAGGTTCTAAAATGGCACTAGATGAAAGGCCAGGTAATCAAGGTTTTTACAAATCATTGTCTAGCAACTTAAGAAAGATTTCTGTACCAGACTCACACTGCAATCCAATTACTAATTGTTAAGATACTTACACAATTCAACCTGATTGTGGCACTAGAGGCAAAGTCAGAGGATCACCAACGTTGGCAGGAGTTATCCTCTGAAGACAATGAATGGTTGTACGACATTTCAGGGAAAACTATCAAATAGTTGTTGAGATATTAACGTTGACCAACAGAATAATTAATCAACATTTAAATTCCTACTGAGAGCAACTATCATGGCCAATAAAGAAAAACAGCTGAATGCAAGTCTGTCCTTAAACTCAGGTCAATCATGCAATGAATTACATTTGATGGTGTTCTGAGTATTCTTCCGCTGACTCTGAGAGGTTCAATAAACACAGGATCAGATCCAGAGTGCACAAGATGTTGAGCAACCAATCAGAACTTAATCCATCAACAGGGATCTGACGTGTATGCAGCAACGTAGACAAATCATAGATAACAGAAGACGTAATGAAGCTTGGACACAATGCAAACTGATATCACAAAGTATCACAAACACAAGCTGACAATAAGCAACTCAATGTGTTACAAAGTCGTCTATAATAACCAACTGGGGGGAAAAGAATGAGGCCATGGTTACAGCACGAGATAATGGATAACACATGTGATTGGCTGCACAGTATCCCACACAGTCATGGAAAATATGAGAAATAAAGAGTGCTGCAGAGCCAAGTCGGCCCCTTTCAGGACCAAACAAGGCGAATCGTGAATCAATCAACATGTATACTTCTATTTTCTGGGAACTGCAAGTACTCTGAATCTAGGGGAGTAGTGTTACTGAAATCTAGACGTCTTCAAGGAGAAAGGGAGAGAAAGGCCGTTATAATAACCAGATGCTCATGTTGTCTGATCTTTGAAAAAAACTAAACAATGAGCCTACCTTTGTTAGTTAACAGCCATGGTAAATCTTTGTCTTCAATACCAAGGGAAACAGGAAGGTCGCTCTTGCCTGGACCTACTGTATTAAAGGGTCCCCTATTATGAAGTGTTTGGCTCCAAACACCAAACAGATCATTGCAGCATCCCATAATCCCCTCTGTTTCAGCCCTGTTCCCAAAGTGCTGATTCTCTGTCTG